TGTCTGGTTAACACTAATGTGCAGTTAAACAGTGTTATCGACGTAGTCAGCACCATTCATATAACAGGGAGTCGGTAACGTCGATAAAGATGTTTAACCAGAGATTAGTGTTAACCAGACATTGAGTAACCGGCCCTAAAACTTAAAAGTAAATGTACTTCACAAGGGAGTCGGCATACAGTTTCATACAATGCCATAAGTTTATATAGGTTTGTATAGTAACCAATAGTCAGTACTAATTTGAACTGGAACCTGCAAATTTTTACTAGAAAAGTGTATGATAACCCAAAAAATTTGCAAGAGAGCACTGAATCGAGAGCGTAAGAACACGGGAGAGCTGCAAATTCTTGCTAGTGAAATTTCTACTAGCAGAATTTAGCTAGCAGAAGAAGAAGAAGAATAAGTGTCAAAAGCCGCCATATGTTGAATTGGTTTAGCACAAACAAAAGTAAAATGAGTAGAAATCAAAATATTAATGATGTACTGGACTGTATAAGTGCGTGTGTGTAAAGCAAAGCGTTTAAAAATGATTTATTTATTTATTTATTTAGTCTAATAAACTTATAAAAGTTCCTTACAGACTAATAACAAAATTCAGCTTAGTTACTAAATAATAATAGATAAGAACTAGAAAATGGAATCCAAGGAGTTTTTAAAAACATCTAATGAAAATGCAAAATCGATTAAAACATTGTTCGAAATCATATTAAGTTCGTTTAAAGCTCGTGGAATAGGGGCATTACGGGAGTATTCAGTTTTGTACCTGCCCCCGTAGAATGGTAAGAAGTTACGCAGGTTTCGCCGAGGAATATTAAAATTAATTTTTTCCAAAAGAACAGGACAATCAATAACACCTCTAATTAAATTAAAAGTAAAAGATAAAGATAGTACAGATCTTCTAGCTTCTAAAGACTTCAGACTTATTAAAAGTAAACGTGATCTATATGATGGCAAAGGTTCTGAAAAATTTAGGGTACGTAGTGAAAACTTCAAGAAGACCTTTTGAACACGTTCAATCCTACTAATTAAATAGTTTTGTGAAGGTCTCCAAATAATTACGGCATATTCTAAATTTGACCGAAAAAAAGAGGTATACAGTAATTTTAGCGTGTAGGGATCAGAAAATTTTGTGCTATTACGCCTTACGAAACCCGGCATCGCATACGATTTAGCAACATGTGAGAAATATGGCTGCTGAAAGTAAAATTCGAAGAAAAAATTACTCCAAGATCTTTGATTTCGTTAATTGATTCTAAAACAGAATTAGATATTATATAACTTGTAGGCACAGTTTTGTGAATTTTTGCGTACGTAACTTTGAAAGAATTTTTAATATTCAAGGCAAGAATATTTTTAGTGCACCAAACATGTAGGTTGTCTATTTCAGCCTGAAGCTGAACTGAATCAGCGGGACTTTTTATTATAGAAAAAACTTTCAAGTCGTCAGCGTATAGCAAAAAATTAGCAAAAGAAAAGCAATGGCTTATATCATTGATAAATAATATGAAGAGCAAAGGGCCTAATATACTCCCTTGGGGTACCCCAGAAGTGGCTATAAAAGGCTCAGAAGTTACACCTTCTACTGTGACAACACAACGCCTATCACTTAAATACGATTTAATCCATTGCAAAAAAATTGAATGGAACCCCAAGGAGGCTAACTTACGAATTAAAATCGAATGACAAACCTTGTCGAAAGCCTTCGAAAAATCTGTGTAAATGCAGTCAACTTGAAACCCTTCTGCAAAAGATGCAATACAATACTCACTAAAAACTGCAAGATTAGTAACCGTTGATCGATTAGCAACAAAACCGTGTTGATAAGGCAAAATCAAACTCTTCGTTACAAAATTTAATTTTTCAACTACAATAGTTTCAAAAAGTTTAGATACAGACGATAACTTTGATATTGGCCTATAATTGCAAACATCACTTTTGTTCCCACTTTTAAAAAGAGGGTTGATGGAAGTTATTTTCCAGTCATCTAAGAAAACCCCAGAGGCTAGAGACATATTATAAATTATTTTCAATGGGATAACTAAACCAGGACAGTTTTTAAACAGGACGGCTGAAAAGCCATCAATATCCGTCTTCACAGACAGTTTTAACTTGGAGATACCGTTGGCAACGTCATTGAAAGACAAACTTAGGGATCCAAAACAAAAAGATGAATTAGCCGTAAAGTTAAAGTCTGCTGAGGGCGTGCAAACATCGTGGGTAAAACTCGAACCGAAAAATTCAGCAAAAAGATTGGCGATATCTGCGGGACAGTGAGCATAATTGGCATGAAAAAAAACAGCAGATGGTATACCGGAACTAGATTTTTTCGCTTTAATGAAATGCCAGAAAGACTTCGGGTTGGATTTAATTTTTGATTCAACATCAAGCAAATAGTTTCTGTAAAGAAATTTTTCTAAACAACTAAATTGCTTTTGAAATTTTTTATATTTAACTAAGAAGATCTGGTTTCCAGTTGTTTTAAACCTTTTAAAAAACTTATTTCTTAGATTTTTTATTTTTTTTAATCTTAAATTATACCAAGGAAACTTATGTGGACGTTTCTTAATAGCTGGAATGTTATTTACGCAAATCTCAAATAAAAGAGTTTTAAAAATAGAGAAAGAACTATATACATCAGGGCAAACCAAAATTGTTTCCCAATCGATTTCAGTAATTAAGCTATTTATCATGGAAAAATCACACCCAGAATAATTAAAACCAACTATTTCGGTGGCAGGTGAATTCAAAAAGTCATAAAAAGCAAATCTGAGAACCAAAGGCACATGATGTTTATCGCAAAGAGATATAGGAGAGTAACATTCCTCAATGTTGCAATTGATGTTATCACTTGCAAATACAAGATCAAGAATTCTATTTAATTCATTAAAAAAATTATTGATTTGCATTAAGTTAAGACTTAGAATATTATCAAGGAGATACGACTCATGATATGCTGTAATATTCATTGGGGTAAGGCCAAAGTTTGAAAACGAACCGGACCAAGACACGTTGCATAGGTTAAAATCACCTAATACGCATAAGTGATTATCTCCTAACTTATTCGTGACTATTGAGCTAATATTATTAGCATGCGCGCAGTACAGTTCATTATTACTGTTTGGAGGAATGTAGGAAACTACGAAGTAAAGAGAACCCTTAGAAGAGGGCCCACTAATACAAATACAAAGTTGGTCAGTAAGAGGGTCATTATTAGCTAAATCAACATTATATGAACACAACTTCCTCCGAACGGCAATAAGAACTCCACCGCCTCTTATACAGCCAGTTTTTATCATATCTCTGTCCTTTCGGTACACATTATAAAACTTAGAGTCGAACAATTCATCATCCAAACAAATTTCCATTAAGCCATGTCTCAACAATTACGTAAATGTCATAATCCAATTGAGAGCTATGAGTATAAACAGCTTCAACCTTGGTCCGAAGACCAGATACATTCTGAAAATACACTTTTAAGCTAGTACTACATCCAATAATAGTATTAGATACATTTATGTTAGTCTCTGTTGATCTTCTTTTCGAAAAAAACGAAAAGGGCGCAGACTAACGTTAGCAGGCCAAATATCTGGTGAAAGAAGCTTTTCATAAAGTGGCAGAGATACACCTAACTTAAAATTAATCCTATTAGCTTTAACAGGCGGATTCTGTTTTTTAACTAAAGCATAACATGAAAGATGTTTTTTGTTTATACCAGCATGCCTTACTACGTAATCAACAATATTTTCTGCTGTTACGGATGGAAGGAAGGAGGACAAGTGAAACCATCTCTTCACATCCGCCACCTCCAAGTCAGTGTTAGAGCTCATTACAGTGGCAATCATCTGTTTGCGTTGTTTATTTTTTCCTCTAACTTCTTTCCAATCCGAATGCGCAGTGAATTCGTTTGTTTCAGTAGCTGGGTGAGCAGAAGCTGAGAACGAAGAAGACGATGAGGAATATGTAAACGCAGTAGCAGCACTAGACGAAGGCGCAGAATTAGTAGCCATATCACCAACAACAGATTGCGCAGAAGTCAAAGTAGTGAGAGCAGTCGTAGTCTCAGAGTTTTCTGTGGAAGCAGGTAACTGCATTAGATGCAGCAACAATAGGCACGATATTCGGCTTGGTGACAGAAATTGTTTGCGCTAACGATGAAGTAGAGCCAACAACAGTAGATGTAGATGAATTATTAGCAGCATTGTCGGCAAGAAAAGACGAAGCAACTGAAGTATTGATAGCAGGTATCAGCGAACTAGTCTGAGCAGCAATAGGAGCAGGCGAAGCAATAACAACTTCTCCACTGATTAATTTCACTACTAAGCCTTTAAGGTCGTTGACCTCTTTAGTTAAACAAGCAATCGTCGAAGCCAAATTCGATGTACAAGTTAGACAATTGTTGCAATTAAAAACAATGTTTTCATTATTAGCAAGTAAATCAGAAAGATCCTTATTGTCGATTTTAGCACAGATTTTATGAAATTTGCTTTTGCACACTTGGCATGAGATTTCATAGCCAATACGAACAGATTTAAAGCACTTAGAGCACGTAAGAGTTTCCATAGCGGCAGCAAAATAAAAACACGTCTTATGACTCCGACGACTTGATGCTTATTTATAAATAGTAAAATGTTTACAGCAGAATATCAAAACAGTGCAACAGCTGTTCACTTGCAAGTTTTTGCTAGTTTTGTGTTCATTAACTTTTTCTGCTAGTTTTCTGTTCTTCTCAATTTTACGCTCTATTTTGGTTTTACGCTCTCGCTGCAATGTTTTACTGGAGACGTTACTATACAAACCTTATGTTACAAAAGTATAAGAGTGAGCATAGCCATAGATTACCACGTGTGTATACGTTCAACTACTTATGGTATACTTATGTTTACACTCGTGGTCAATCTATTATATTACGTTCAAATTGACACCATTTAACTTGTTAAATGAAAAAAAATTGAACATATCGAGTTAACTTTGACGGTTGATTTCAAATAAATGGTGTCAGGAACACACCTATCATTGGTTCAGGAACACACATATAATCGATTCACAATACACATTCCTAACTTTGACATATCATTACTACACACTCATTCTTGGTGTACACATTTCATATATATATTTGGAGATTGTTCTAGACACAAAGTATTGAATAAAACACGTGCATTATTAATTGTTCTCTTTTATTTAATAAAGTAATTTGTACCTAAGCTAAGGTACATTACATGGTGCCGAAACCCGAATTAAAACGGAAAAATGCCAGACCCAGCAACTAATAGGGAAAACCTGACCACAATATTAGACCACCAAAAAGTTTTGTCATAAACAATTATCAAAATGTGGCAAACGAGTGGAAATTGTGGCTTCAACAATTCGACTGGTACTCCATCGCGACAGAATTGGATACTAAAAAACCAGAAGTTCAGGTCGCAGTATTCATGGCGTCTGTAGGAAAGGACGCAGCAGTAATTTACAATACTTTCAACTTAACAGAAAATGAAAAAAAAAGCGTCAGCACAATCAAAAAGCGATTTACGGAATATTTTACGCCCAAAATCAACGAAACGTATGAAAGATACGTATTCAATACAATCGTACAAAAGGAGTGTCAAACATTTGATGAATTCGTCACAGATCATGGAAGCAAAATTAAAAACTGTGGTTACGGAACGTTAGAAGACACCTTAATTCGCGACAGAATAGTAGTGGGTATAATAAATGACACAACAAGGGAAAAACTACTAGCGGAAGGCAAATTAACCTTGCAAAAAGCCATAGATATTTGTCACTCTGCAGAGCAAGTCAAGATGCAGGTAACAACAATGAAACAAGCGGCTACAGTTGACGCAGTTACGTGGAACAAAAAGCAAACTAAAAAAGACAACAAAGAACCTAACAAAAAAGATGAAACCTTTCACTGCAATAGGTGTGATACCACGCACGGCCGTCGTAATTGTCCGGCCTTTAAAAAGATTTGCCAGAAATGTAAAAGGAAAGGCCATCTAACCAAATGTTGCAAAAGCAAAACGGTCAACGAACTGGTCGAAGACCGTGAAGGCGACTATTACAGTTTTGTAGTGTCTACGGTAGGTGCGGAATTAGACAGTGTGGACGTCGAAGATTGGTATGAAAAAGCTACGCTGGCCAAAAACGTAATGGTAAAGTTCAAGCTTGACACAGGTAGTCAGTGCAACGTTTTAAACTACGAAACAATAAAGAATATAGACGCTCACATCAGTCCAACGTCAACAAAGTGCTTAACATCGTTTTCAAACCATAAAATCCCCGTACTGGGTGAAGTGGTCATAGACACGCTTATTAAAAAACAAGAAGTACCCATAAAATACTTAGTCGTCAAAGCAGATGTCTCAGCAGTGCTTGGTAAGTCAACATGTGAAAAATTAAAATTAGTAAAGCGTATTGAAACCTTAACTATTGATGAAGACTTATTTGAAGGAATTGGTTGCCTTAAGCAATACATATACGACATAGACTTAATAGAAAATCCGAAACTAAGCATATGCCCTGCACGAAAAATCCCACACACGATTAGACAGCAGGTTAAAGAGGAGCTTGATAGTATGGTTGCGCAAAAAATAATTAAACCCATAACAAAGCCTACACCGGCTGTGTCACCCATGGTGGTAGTAAGAAAAAATAATAAAATTAGACTCTGTTTAGATCCATCGGTGATAAATAAAAATCTCAAAAGACGTTATTATCCACTTAATACGTTAGAAGAAATTACAGCGCGCATTCACGGCTCAAATTGGTTCACGTTACTCGATTGTAAAAAAGGCTTTTGGCAACTGCAAGTAACACCCCGTACTTCAGAATATCTGACATTTAGTACCCCGTTCGGAAGATACTCTTGCTTAAGGATGCCATTTGGCTTAGCATCGGCTCCGGAGGTTTTCCAACAAGTAATGAGTTCGCTGATCGCGGACGTAAAGAACGCTGAGGTATCAATGGATGATGTTCTCTTGCATGCCACCAGCAAACTAGAACTAGAGAGGATCACTCAAGAGGTACTTGACAAATTCAAAATAGCAGGCCTTAAGCTGAACAAAGAAAAATGCGTTTTTAATACACAAGAAGTAAAGTTTCTAGGACATATAGTCTCCGCTGAAGGTGTAAAACTTGATCCCGAAAAAATAGAAACTATAACGAAAATTAAGCAACCGGAAAACGTGAAAGAGTTGCAAAGATTCTTGGGTATGGTAACATACGTGTCGAAATTTATAAAAAATTTGGCAGATATCACCCAACCACTAAGACAATTATTGCGAAAAGATGTTGAGTGGGTATGGGATACGCAACACAATGAAGCATTCAATAAATTGAAAAATCTGCTAAAGAATCCACCAGTATTAGGGTATTATGACACGAAAGCGCCAATTTTGCTGTCAGTAGATGCCAGTAGTTATGCATGTGGCGGAGTACTAATACAAAAACAGAAGCCGATCGCTTACTGTGCAAAATCGTTCACAAAAACCGAACAGGGCTATAGCCAATTATAAAAAGAGGCAAACGCCATTCTAGTTGCATGTAAAAAATTTCACATGTACATTTGGGGTTGCAAAGATTTAACGATCGAATCTGACCATAAGCCTCTTAAGACGATATTTAAAAAGCCAATAACAGATGCACCACCGAGATTGCAAAGAATCATGTATCAAATCCTGCCTTATAATCCAAAAGTTACTTATAAAAAAGGTACGGAATTGTATGTAGCAGATTTCCTGAGTAGAGACTGCGAAAACTTAGATGGTGAAGATTTAAATACAGAAAATTTACAAATATGTGCTATTGTGCCATTCACGAAAACGCGAAAAGACGAACTTAAAGCAGAGACCGCAAAAAGCAAAGAACTTAATGATTTAAAGTTAATCATACTAAAGGGATGGCCAGATACCATCAATAAAGTGCCCGTAAATCTGAAAAAATATTGGTACTATAGAGAAGCTCTCAGCGTTTATGAGGACATAATTTTTAAAGATCACCGAGTATTGGTTCCAAACACAATGGTGCCATTAGTTATGAAACATTGCCACCTTAGTCATAAAGGACTACAAGGGACGCTAAAACTGGCCCGTGACAATATATTCTGGCCAACAATGACCAAAGATTTAACTGAGTACATAAAAACTTGCGGTGCATGCAGCAAAATACAAAAAGATAATCAGATGGAACAAATAAATTTACAAGCCGCACCGAAACGGCCATGGAGTATTGTCGCTTCGGACATATTCCACTTAAGAGGAAAGGATTGCCTCCTCATTGCAGACAGCTACTCAGGATATTTTGACTTTAAACAACTAAACAATATCACCAGTTTCAACGTCATTAAAGAATTTAAGACATGGTTTGCTACCTTCGGCATTCCGGAGGTACTATTATCAGATGGTGGTAAACAATTTGATTGTAGCGAATTCAGGGCCTTTCAGAAAGAATGGAACTTTGAACATAGAATTTCGAGCCCTCATTTTCCACGTTCAAATGGCCTAGCAGAACGCTATGTACAAGAGGCTAAAAACCTGATGAAAAAGTGCCTTGAAGACAACACGGACATACACCTAGCCTTGCTACATCATCGGAATACTCCACGCTTGGACCTAGGGTCTCCAGTTCAACGATTAATGAACAGAAGAACCAGAACGCTATTACCTACCAATGAAAAACTACTCAATCCAAAAATAATAAAAAACGTGAGCAAAAAACTAACAAAACTCAAGGAAGGTGAGAAAGGAACAGCAGACAGAAATAAAAAACAGAGTAGAGAATACACTACGCAAGAGAAAGTACTGCTTAGACAAAGCCATAATAACTGGGTTCCAGCTTATATAGTGAGACCAGAAGGACACCGCTCGTACAGAGTACAAACCGAGGATGGCGCCACATACAGAAGAAACACATGGCATCTTAAGCCAGCCACTTCATCCCTTGACGTTAATCCTAACTCGTCCACTGACCGTCCTACTGTTGAACCAAAAATCCAAAGTCCTTCGAGTCCAACACAGCCACCGACAGAAACCACAACACAACAGTGTTCGCCAGATGACGTGCCTCTGGAAGCTGAGCCGTCCACGCCCGCTACACCACAGGATGCAGCTAGTCTCAATCACCCACCGCGCACTCGCTGTGGACGTGTAATTAAGACACCCGCAAGGTACCGCTGAAAAGGAGGGATGTCAGGAACACACCTATCATTGGTTCAGGAACACACATATAATCGATTCACAATACACATTCCTAACTTTGACATATCATTACTACACACTCATTATTGGTGTACACATTTCATATATATATTTGGAGATTGTTCTAGACACAAAGTATTGAATAAAACACGTGCATTATTAATTGTTCTCTTTTATTTAATAAAGTAATTTGTACCTAAGCTAAGGTACATTACAAATGGCGTGCAGGATTAGAACTCCGGCAAGCTTAAATCGGAAAAATCGTAGCAAAAAATAATGTTCCATAGTAGTATTTTTATAGGGCGCTCGTTTACTGGAGAACGTCATAATCTAAAGAGACATTTTTTCTGTTAAGTATGCAAAAATGGCTGCCGATCCTTATTTTATATTCGCCGAAAAATGCGTTACGCTATCCTCCAATTGTTTCCCTGGAACTTTACCCTATAAACCTTAGACTCTACAATCTCTCTTTAGCCAAAGTAAGGAACCAAATGGATTTTTAATGACAGAGTTATCATCTAATATTTCAAGCAAGTGTTGCATATTTTAGCGAAAGAGTGGATAAAACTATCTTTAAAATACCATTTCAACTATTATTATCGTGGAAAAATTACGAAATTTATGCCATTTTCCAGAAAGAATACCTTAAAGAGGCATATTTTTGTTTAGATATAGTATGTGCTACATAAAAATACAAATTAGTCTAATATTATTTATATTATACCTTAAAAATTACCTGAATTCATCAATTCATGTTTGTATTAAAAAGAAAAACAATTTTATTTTATGTTTTTCTTTTTTTAGTTTAGATACTGCAAAAGGCGTACTTTATTATTTTGGAATTAAAAACGTAGCAGATCGTAGGTAAAGCGGAGTAGCGTAGTAAGTTTAAGATTTTCTTTGAAACCGTACTAAATCTACTACGATCGCTCATTCTGGTTGGCTGAAGCAGAAAGCTTTCTGATACAACTCTGCGCTGAACTGGTTTTCAATCGAGTTAAATGATTTAACTGGTTCAATTTTCCAACAACAATTGCATGCGAGTTAACTTGTTTATGAACATGTTTTGTTCATTTAACTGGTTCAAGCCCATTTAACATGTTTAACTCGTCAATTTGAACATAGTATTACACTACCCCCCTCTTAATGTCTTTATATATATGTATTACAAAATTAAATTTCAGTAGTAGTACTTCAGTTACAGATATTTTTTTAACAGTGCCGAAGTTATATTGAGTTTTATTTACTTAATTGACTACTCGACTTCTCAGTTTATATTTATTACCTTGCGTATCGTTTTCTTTTATTATTGTGGCGAATACTGCGGCAACGCGAAGCGAACAACGAGAAAAAGGCAGAATGTTCGCGGAATGACGTAGAATGTTCCACAAAGAGAAACGTCAAGTTGGATGAACACTGCGAACAGCGAGAGAAAGAGAATGAGCGAAGAACTTCAGAACATTCTAGAGTTCCCATGAGTGCGACCGCAGGTATATAAGAGCCACGACACAGCGGAGTTGGGGAGTTATAAGTCAGCAAGCTACAAGTAAAGTGAGTTGCAAATAAGCAAGCTTGTGTTAACTAGCTACACAAGTATTGTAAAGTGTTTGTTGTACAATAAAGTTAATTGTACTGTAATTTGGACGCGTAAGCATTTATTTAACAATCCAGAGTTACGAACCGAAGTATTTGGGAAATCCGGACGAGTAGTCAAGGGCTTTGTTTCTTTTCTTTTCTAGCAGATAATTATCAGGAAGAAGAAGAATGAGGAAATTGAAAGAATTACGCTCACAGAGAGCGAAATAACGAAAAAGTAAAGAAACGCAAAACTAGCAGAAACTAGCAAGTAATCAGCTGATCGGTGTATTTGACTATTGAAAGTATTTGGCGCGAATTTTTGTTTATCCATTTTGACAGCTGCTAGTTTCTGCTAGTAAAAATTTTACTAGCAGAAATTAGCAGGAGAGCCAAAAAAAGAAGAGCGTAAGATCGAGAGAGAGCTGCTAGTTTCTGCTAGTTTTTTGTGTTAAGAAACGGTTTCCAGCTGAAATTAGTGATAATTTGTGATAATTATCAGTTGAGAAACAAAGCTAAGGATAAACGTAACTATTGGTGTCAGAAGTGGGATTGTTAAATAAATCCCAGAGGAGAAACTTCTGAAAATGGCGAAAATTCAGGACTTAAAGATTGAGGAATTCAAGCAGGAGTTGGAGAAGCGAAATTTAGAAACCTCCGGAAGAAAACTGGAGTTACTATCACGGATGCGAGAGGCTATGGAATCAGAAGCCATCGACGTGGACAAATACGACTTCCAGGGTAAACCCGACGACACATCCGCAAAGGACGAGCAGAAGGATGAGGCTGCTTGTTCGTCGAAGGATGTCCAGCAGCATCCGGGAAGGTTGAAGAACAGCAAAAGGCTCCTTCGTCATCAACAGCTATGGACATGAACACGTTATTGGCTGCAATTTCATCACAGCTACAAGCGCAGAGGTTGCAGTTGTCTTCAGATGTCTCATCGCAGCTAGATGAAAAGATTACTCAGCTACGGGAGAATTTATTCAAAGATAACGCGGAACTCAGAGAGAGATTGGGTAGAATCGAGGAACGACAAGATAAAATCGAAGCGCTTATTAAGGAAAAACAGGACAAAGTCGAAGCTAAGGTGGATGAGGTTGAAGATCGTCTACGGGGCATGCAGTCGAATCGTCCAACTAATTCTACGAACGCTCCCAAGTTAAAGACTCCATCCTTTGATGGCACTATTCCTTTCCAGGTCTTTAAGCTCCAGTTTGAGAAGACAGCTACAGCAAATCACTGGAGCATGGAGGATTAATCCGCTGCTATGTTGGTTGCATTAAAAGGACCTGCAGCGGAAATCTTGCAGACTATTCCTGACTGTGAAAGGAACAATTACGATCCATTGATGGGGGCCGTGGACAGACGCTATGGTAACGAGCACAGGCGACAGATCTACCAGATTGGATTGGCAAAAATTCAACGAGACTACAGGAATTCGCCTCAGAGATCGAGAGGTTGGCTCACTTGGCTATTGGAAACGCATCTGGTGAACATCTCGAAAGGGTGAAAACCCAGAGGTTCATCACCGGAATGCGGGACATGTATACTAAGCGAGAGACGTACGCGAATCCAAAGCCAACATTTACTAAAACCGTCTCGTATGCTCAGACGCGCGAAACGGCGGCGCTCCTAAGTAGACCAGCCTACAAAGCACATCGCGTGGAAGTGTAAACACCGGACGAGACAAATCAAATGCTGAAGAAGATTATCCAACTGCTGGGCGAGAAAAAGCATGGCTCTGGAAAATGTTTTAAATGTGGAAAGCCAGGCCATTTCGCCCGCGATTGCAGCGCAAGTTCCAGTGGGCTTAACAATTCTGCAGGACATACACGCAGGGCTGAAGGAGACGAATCTAACTCCAATCAGTCGTTAAACTAAATCGAGCCAGCAGGAACGGCCGCGAGCTGGCTCTATAAGTTTAAGGGCCCATATTCTCCGTCTCACAAATTGGCCGAAATGCGAGCAACCTCACTGTTGGTGACTTGGGAAATCCGGACGAGTAGTCAAGGATAATCGTAACAGTATTATGCTACCAGTATTTGGGATCTCTTGGTCGTTTCCTGCAGCAGGCGAACCTACTGAATTTTTATACTTTTTCTCATTTCCATTGATATTCGAATCTAAGCTTTGACTCTCCAGCGGATCAAGTAAATTTTTTGAAATGTCTGGATCATTTGTATTTGCTGTACTACAAGCAACAATTTGATTTGCATGACGTTTCCATATTTTTTCCGAAGCTATGATTTTTACCCTGAATGTCTGTTGGCCTAGTTTTTCTAAAATTTTAGCTTTGGTCCAACTGACCCTTCCCGGTATCGAGTAATCCTTAACAATAACTTGATCCCCGTTTTTAAATTTGTTTCTTTTATTACCACGATAATGAACTCTCTGTTTAACTTGCTGATCCTACACCTTTTCTCTTACAGAGGTATCGGGTTTGCGATCAGCTTCTCGCATTGGGTTCAAAATATCTAACCGAGTGCGTAGTTGCCTGCCAAACATAAGCTGCGCTGGAGATACACCTGTGCTACTGTGCACCGCATTACGATAGTCCAATAGAAACTTATTTAAAACATAGAAATCTGCTTCCCTGGTTTGATACAAGCCTCTCTTTAACGCCGCTTTTATTACTTTCACACAATTTTCGGCTTGGCCGTTGGTAGCAGGGTGACCTACCGGTGAAGTTATGTGCCTAATGGAATTTCTTTCCAAAAAAATTGGAATTCCCCCGACATAAAAGCCGTCCCGTTATCAGAAACTAAGATTTCCGGCAACCCAAAACGAGCAAAAATTTGTTTTAGCACCCTTATAGTCGCCTTGCTCGTCATATTTTTGCCCATGTCGATGCACTCGATCCATTTGCTATAGCTGTCCACTACGATTTGACACCATCGATTCATAAATGGTCCAAAGAAATCAATATGCACCCTCGTCCACGAATTTTCTGGCCAGTTCCATGACTTAAGAATTTGCTTCGCCGGATCCGGCCGTAACATTAAGCAAGCTTTACAAGACTTGGTTTCCTTCTCAATTTCTGCACCTTGAGTTGGCCACCAGCAACACTCTCGGACCATTCCTTTCATCTTAGCAATACCGAGATGAGAAGCATGAAGGTATTGTACAACTTCTGATTGTAACGATCTAGGAAGTATCAACCTATGTCCCCAGAAAACACAGCCCGCATCCGAAGATAATTCCAGCCTCCTGTCAAAAAATGGGCGCAAGGCGTTATCTGCACATACACTGGGCCACCCTGGCCTTATGAAATCGCAAACCATTTGTAGCAACTTGTCTTTTTGTGTTTCCGTCCTAATTTTTTCAATATTTATGATTTCCGAGGGGTTCCTAGAAAAATAATCGGCAATGTTCGTCTTGGATTTAACTATATGTTGACTTTATCGAAGGTATATCCAGATAACGTTAATGCTATCCTCTGCAGCCTATTTGCAACCATTACTGGAGTTCCCTTTTTTAGGTCAAAAATATGATGCAAAGGTTTATTGTCTGTCACCAGTGTGAAGAATCCGCCGTACAAGAAACGATGAAACTTTTTGACACCGTATAGGATTGCCACAGCCCCGCGATCAAGCTGCGAATATCTCTGTTCTGTTTCC